TAACAGTATAATAACCATCACCAAGAGCATGCCTGCATCCCATGGATCCATGTTGCAACAATTTTACATGTAAGACAAGGTCGGAGGAAGCAGGAAATAATCAGAACAGCTAATGAAAGGTCAGAGGTAAAAGGAAATGACCTCATAACATTGTTACCTTCCTTAAAAAAACAAAACTGGTCTGGAACGCATCAAAAACGCATCTAAGGACTAGCGTGCGTGCGTGTGCAGAAACGCGAGAAGATCTGCTCTGCATTTGGTGTGAACAAGGCCTTAAGGGTGATTAGGCTTAAAAGACACTTTGGCTAAATGGACTCAAATTCCTATAAACACAGTCCAAAAATGTGTTAAAAGATTTCCTAGGACAATGGAGGTTTAAACAAAAAGGTGTGGGGTGGGGTCTCCTTAATAATGCCACTGGGTTTTGCATATGATGCCCAACAAGTTCAAATAGATGTGATGGTCAGGTGTCCACAAATGTTTGGCCTTATAGTGTAAGGGTGCCCATACATCTTACGAATATCGTCCGATTTCCATATGCGAACGCGTTTTCGTACGATATTCGTAAGGTTGATGGGCAGTGTACAACCGCAAATACTGTACAATCGATCGACTTTTGACTAACCAGCATATTAGAAAACTTCGGTCGATCGTACGATTTTTGCAAGGTTGGGGGCATTTCCGTACGTCAAAATTTGTACGATTCACACTGCACGTGTACAAACGAAAATACGTCCGGTCGATTACCGCAATTCGTCCAGTTGCTTTTTTTTATTACTCCTGATTGGACCTTGCAATAATCGGGGCAGGATGGGGCCGCTGTACGAAAACCATACGGTGGTTCGATCGTCAGACGAATAGTTTTGTCCGATGATCGCAAGGTGTATGGGTAGCTTTAATCAGAGTCTGAATTGGTCTCCCAGGTGCCATTATCTAGGTAGTCTTGTCTTGTCTACTAGTACTACCCCTGACGCTAAACCACAACTCTTCTCTAGTGACTGAAACTATATCTAATGAATTTTGTTCTTGCATGTGAAGAAGGGATGCGTTATGTTAAAAGGATTTAATAATGACCTATCTGCTCTATTATAAGGTTCTCTTTGATACAACCATGAGAATGGGAGCTAACGCCTTTCATTAATAAACCATGGCTTGTTTTGGCTGCAGTTATACATTTTGGAGGCTCTGATCTTAAGCTCAATTAGCTTTTTTCTTTTTTTTTGTAATTAAACTGAAAAACATCAGCAATTAAAAAAGAGAAAAAGAACATGAACTAAATTATTATAAACATCCCTTTTTTCTACTCTACAATATGGTTCATTTCTCTGAGGCTTATAAAAGCTGTCAGCTGTAGCTACAAAGAAAGGGAGTTCAGGAGATAAGGAATGTGCCCTAAATAGGAGTGTATTTTAGTGAGAATATGTCTGCCAGCCAAATGTCTGCAGTTCTTAAGCATCGTCTCTTCACATCAGACTCAAACTGGTGTCAATGGAATACACTACATAGACAGTAATTTCATGGTAATCCATTGGTTCAGCACAGTGGTAAACACAATCCTAAACTACAGTACACAGATCGCCTTCCCTTCCAATGTCTCATACTGTTGCCCCATCTGCATGCCCTCTACCCGGGATACCACCTACTTTCATGGTGCTATATAACAGTGACACAGCTGTCAGTGTTGCTTTTGCATCCTGCCAGTCACTTATCTATAAATCATGGTGCGGAAGAGTGCCACCCATATGATTTCCTCTTTAACTTTGAATATTGTGCATGGATTTAAATATGAACTCTGGGAATTAAAAAAACTTGCCCTTGCAGTGGGGCTACACCCAATGCAAGGGTTAAGTGCTCGTTTTGTCTAGGGGGGTTCACATAAAGAAGATGTACTCCTCAATCCCAAGGTGGTCGACACTCACCTCTCTCCCCTTCTGCTCATGCAGAATGTCCCTTGGCATCCTCACATCTAATGCAAGTCTAATACTGAAAAATGGCCTGGATGGGAAGGGGGTTTAACACCGCGGATGTCAACTGGTTAAGGACTTTCCTTAAAGGATAATTAAACCCTCATGGTTTTTGCATATATCTACTGGTAGCAAGCAGTAGATATCTGTAAAAACATTTTTTTTTTTAAAGTTATGAAAAGGTTAAAACGTACCTGTGCCTCCCCCCTATCTATCTTGTACTAAAGCTGGCCATACACCTATTATTATACAGGATTTTTTATAGCGCCAACAGTTTGTGCAGCGCTTTACAATATAAGGAAGACATGACAATTACAATACAATTCAAGACAAGATGGTAAGGAGGGCCCTGCCCATGAGGGCTTACAATCTAAAAGGGAGGGGGAAGTGATACATGAGGAGGTGGCTGTGTGTGGATGAATTCTTTAAGAAATTGATATTTCAGGGGTTAGGTTGCAGTGGGATAGGCTTCCCTGAAGAGATGAGTCTTAAGGGATCGACTAAAGGCAGTCAGTGTGGGAGATAGGCAGACCGGTTGGGGTAGAGAGTTCCAGAGGATGGGTGAGACTCTAGTGAAGTCTTGGAGGAGAGCATGCGACCAGTTGACGAGGGAGCTGGAAAGCAGGAGGTCTTGGGAAGAGCGGAGGGGACGGTTAGGGTGATATTTTGAGACAAGGTTTGAGATATAGCCGGGGGCAGAGTTGTGGATGGCTTTGTAGTGGTCTGCAGTGAGCTGCAGATGGTCTCTTGGTTGCTTATAAAGTGTATTTGTTAGTCAAGGTGTAAAACTTAAGGAAAAAAGAAAGACAGGGGGTTACTCAAAGTACAGATAAGGGGGTAGAGGGTAATAAACTGGAACACAATTCATGGTTTGACATACATGAAGCAAGCATCTAAATTAGCTATCAAATAAAACATCACAGATAAGCAGACTTAAAAAAAAAAAAGTGTAAACAAAGTGTAAACAATGCCTGCATCCAATCAGCTTGTTCAGGTGTTTTGAAAGCCAGCGTGGCAGACTAGCAAGATACTGAAGCTTGGTCCAGTGGGAGATTCCTCCATCCACACAGGTTAGCGTAGATGGAGGAATCTGTTGCAGTTTTTCCATTTGACCATAGAAAGTCTGCAGATAATGTATAGGTGTATGGCCAGCTTTATCCAATGGGCCTTCTTGTTCTCTCTGCTCTTTTCTACAGTAAACAATTTAATTTCAAAACCGCAGACCGGCATGCTGACTGTGCACATTCTGATGCGTGCCGGACAAGTTCGAGAAGTTGTTTTCAGTCTAGATGACACCAATCATCAAGATGTTTTTCAACAGCAAGGCCATACATTATAAAATATTCATCACCGAAAAGGCACTGAACAAAACTAAACGCAGTGGTAAGACTTCACCTAAGGGGAAATGTGTAAAGGTGACTGTGGGCTACATAATCGGGACCAGTACATTGATTCAAGCTACTTGGGTCACCAGCAAAGGGTAAAATGAAATCAGCCATCACTGTTATACCAGCTATGCTGCAGCACCACTTCATACCAAAGCGGACGCACACCTTGCAGGGTTTGGGCTCTGGGGAGAGGTAATTTCATAATGAGTTAAGGCACGAATGTAAAAAAAAAAAAAAAAAAAAA